GACATGAATTCCAAAGGTCTTCTCCAGTCAGGCTGCGACTGGAGATGACTTCATATTTTGGTGTACAGAGCCAGCTCCTGCTTATAGAGGAACATCTTGGGTATCTTCCGCCCTGGTACTCGTATCCACGTCCTCTGTCTGGGCTGCGAAAACTTTGCTGATATGTGACTCGGTCGAAGTGACTTTTTTTGCCCCCCCCCTGTACATCGTATCTTCCGGTCACCCAAAGGGTTAGATTTCGACTTCCGGCTGTCATCCTTAGTTTTGAAAGATACTGTCAGTTACTGTGCCCCGTTTGCGGATAATTGCTTCTGTAAAGAGAATCTCTCGAGAATAAGACTCGGAGCTCGGACGAGATCTATTACAAGTTAAAGAAGAAATAAACGAAAAGTAACAGGAGGCAGATGCTCTGACAGAGTTTCGAAGCATTTCTTATATTCTCTCATCACGGTATCTACCATGAGGCTGCTCACGTGAAGTGTACCTTGTGCAACTCAAATGGTCAGTGAAAACGACTACTCCTTCGGTCAAAAGTTCTATCATCAATTAGGAAAAATGTAAAGTGTAATCTAGCACAATGCAAAAATGTAATTGGAGAAAACTCTCTTGAGATAAGACCTGAAATGTCTCCCATTAGCTTTTACCCTCTTGAGATAAGACCTGAAATATCTCCCATTAAGCTTTTACCTGTATTCCTGTCGTATGGCGTTGCGGCCAAGTCTGTTGTTATCCTCGACGAATTTCTTGAGATTGTCTATGGCGATATCGCCTTCCATTTTGTTACCCATAGTCGGATCGTCCTTTACTTTGATTCCTGTAGACATATATCATATAGGTGTGAACTAGGTACATCATCAATGGGATAATCACATTAGGAGGGGTCGCTCTTACAAGGGGCTGGTACACTTTTTCGAAAATGGTTTCTTGCATATTGTAGGGGCCTCATGCAAGAGCCGAAAAGCTTGTGCTTCATTTTTCGCCTGCCACGCTTCCAGCGAAAGGCCTAAACCACTGGGGAAAAAAGTCTTTGGAATCTGCTTCGTCGGGCCTCTATAAGGCGTAGGTCACTTGCCAACTCTTGACAGTTGCCTGTGAGTGGGGGGGGCGGTCCTTATAGAGGGCAGCCAATTTGATCTCGAAACGCAAAAAATCGCCGCAATTGAGCTTCCACTTGGGTCACGTGCCCCGAGGTGTGAAGGGCTTCTTGCATGTTCATCAACGATTAGAGGCTACGCAAGGTCGAGCATCGATGGCCTAGTGGGTAGAGGGAGGTTGCCCACAAATCGGACAATGAGGGTGGGGTGATGGTTCGGCTCCCGTGCATTGCGTCGTGGACTTTTTGCATTTTTTAGATTTCGCTGTTCTCGCTTCCATTTCTGTCTGCGCATGAATATAACTCGGATATTTGCCATTTATGGGCACATTCTGAGTAGCTGTACCTCATGAGTCAGTGCTATTCAACTATTTCGATTTTCACGCACCATTGAACAAGATTGTTGCTGGACGTTGATCCTCATAGGCTATACAGTGGATCTGATTGCGAATTTAGTAACTTGTGGTGGTCAATTATAGACAATTTGGGGCCACATCTTCTTTCCACTGAATTCGTTATGTACACCAATATAGGGAACGTTCACCGCTATTCTGTCGCCAAATTGCGTGGACGCCAAGAATAGGTGTTATATTTGTGATCAGGGCCACTGATTACCACTAAAAACGAATTTTTGGTTAAAACAATTGTTTTGACCTTCTTGGGTTTGCTTATTGGGTTGTCCGGGGTCCGTAGCGTCAACGATACGCATCGCTGTTACGAAGATGTGAGACTCCGCTCACACTGCCGACCAAATGGTCGGTCACCTACAACCCGAAAAAGTCAAAAAAATTTTTTTTTTCAAAACTCAAAAACTGGCTCGCCTGGGGGTAATCGAATCTCTGATCATTAGAGACTTAACTTTATTTCCTTCCAGCCGCCCATCTGGGCACCGGCATACCGCCCGAAAGATCTGAGTCTTGCATTTACTAACGAATCGATTACCGAAAAGCAATTTTGCTCCATAATAAGTAGATTGTTCATTTATCGCGAAATTGGTTTCGTTTTGGATTAGAACCAATTATTTAGACAAACATGGATCCAAAAAATGAAAAATTGTAGAAAAGCAAAATTTTGTCCTCGGTGGGATCCGAACCATCGACCTATTTTTTACGTTTTTTTTATTTCGTAAAAAAAAAAAAAAAAAAAAAAAAAAAAAAAAAAAAAAAAAAAAAAAAAAAAAAAAAAAAAAAAAAAAAAAAAAAAAAAAAAAAAAAAAAAAAAAAAAAAAAAAAAAAAAAAAAAAAAAAAAAAAAAAAAAAAAAAAAAAAAAAAATGCGCGAGAAGAAGAAGCTTCAGTTTTCTGCCGTTCCTCTATGCTGCCCCTAGCAATATGCACAAGACCATGTTTGGAAAGCTATCACCAGACCTGAACGACCTCCCTCGTTAATTACAGGGGGAGGGGGTTCGTTTACGCGTCCGCTGGAGTAATATTTCGATTGCTGACTTTTCGCGTTCTTCCCGTTACCTATCTGGTATATGTACACTTCCGTTTCTGCGCTCCCGCTACACAATTACTATTTATAATTGAAAGTAATAGTTGCCAGGTCCCCTCCTACTACACCCAACCCTCTCCCCCCCCCTCCCCCCCCCACCCCCCCCCCAGCCGCTCCGCTGACAGTTTTCTGGGAAGAACCTAGGAAAATTTCCTGCAAAACGTGACTGAGAAGTGTTGGGAAAGTGACTCATCCCCTTTTGATTGTCCGTGGTACCTCATCTCCCTTGTCTAGTCTCTACCGACGACTCCTGCTTATCGCTTATGCTGCCTTCCATACTTTGCGGCAGCGTCCACCATCCATCGTCCACGAGCGTTACGTTCGAGGGGTCTCGTCAGAGTCCAGCGACTGGGTGGTATAGATATCGATCTAGAAACGCCAACGTTTAACAGCTGTCCATCAGGGCATCACCAGCGACCAATAGTAGAGAGTATGAGTGGGAAAGTGGGAGGGTAGCAGACTGCTGGTGTATGGGGAAGTGGGAGGGAGCGGACAGCTGGTCGTGAAATTGTGGCGTGCACACGCACCATGCTAGTACACTATACCGTATACGTGGTCGCTGGTGGCCAGTGGTGGTCGCTAGTGGGCACTGGCGGACGCTGGATCGACATCCACACTTTCCTAGCGCCTCGAAGCCGCTGATGGTCGCTGGCGGGTGCTCGTAGACGCTGCCATTCGCTAGATCGACATCTATACTTTCCTAGTCGCTAACGCTGACTGACATTTGAAACGCCGATGGTTGATGGTGGTTGATGGTGGACGCTGTCGCAAAGTACGAACGCAGCCTTAGGATCAATTGCAAGAAGGACGGGCTAGTTCAGAGCGTTTTCGAGTTTCCTTCACATCGGGTAAGTCGACTAGCACATGCAATGGTTTGCAGTCCCGCTACGTACGACTTGCAAATGCGATATGTGTCTTTAAGTCACTTATGGAGGACTGGATGAGTGATGCACAAAGTTGTGGATTAGATTTCAGTTCCAGGTCAGAAAGACGTTGAGCAGTCCCAGCCTTCCTTCCCTATGCAGGGGAAGTGTTTAGATTAAGCAAAAAAAATCGAGGCTTACCTAGCTTGGTGATATCTCGTTGAGTGTAACTTCGAAAGTCGTCCTCGTTCAGTACCGTTTCAACATCTGGCTTATTTCGGTCGATAACCTGAGGTAGACAACATGAGATATTTTATAGCTGAACGAGATATCACAAATGAATTTCATAAGTTCACATTGCCTGGTCGTTTTGACCTACTCAGTTTTGATATGCTTGTTTAGAGAGCTTATTTTCACTTTGCAGATTGCCGTTTCTCTTCGCATAGTCATAGATTATCACCGGAGCAGATCGCCTACTGGCTTTCAAGGTGAGTACTCTGGAAGACAGATACAT